GTGTCCTGCGGTGGACGAACAGATGACTCACTGTCCTTGTGGTCCAGTCTCATCCCAGCTCTGCAGGGAGCTGTGTGCACGCACACTCATATATCGCATAAATATTTATCACAAATCAAGCTGAAAAAAGCCTCTGTAGAGACCTGAAGGTGCGTTTTACAGCAAGTTCAAGGATAAAAGCTGCAAAATGAGCAGGATAACAATTACTGACTGACTAATCTGTTTACTAGGGATGAAACGATTAATCAGATTAATCGATTATTCAAATAATCATCAACTAGGCCTTTTGCAATAAGCAATAAATCAATTAATCACATGATAAATTAAAACAAGGTCAATAATTTCCATTTGCATAATTTATTGTTTTTCTCTTTCTAAAAGTCTCCGGTTTGGCGTTTTGGTTTCAACTCCTTTTTTTGAAGTGAATTTGCCATTTTAAGGACAAAAACAGTTATTAACTCCTTATTATTATTATAATTATTATTATTATTATTATTCCATTCCCATTATATTACTGGAAAATGGTCTCAAAACAACACTATTGTTTATCGCAATAACTTCTGGGGCAACTTCGTTCCTATTGTTAACTAATCTAGTAATCGATTAATCATTAACTGAACTAAAAAAAAGGTCAATTTACTGAAAAAGTAACAGATTTAGAGCAGTAATTAAGTCAAAACTCTACAAAATTAATATAAATTTTGAATTTGAGATAAAAATATATTTTTCTGTAAATATGTTTTACCCTGAACTCCTAAAGTGATTTAGTTTTAGCTTCATCTGGTCTAGAAGAATGAGGTGTTATTGCATTTTAGGCAATAAAATGTTTATTTTTCCTTTTTAAAGACGAAATTCTTTATTATTTTGCATTTTTACTGTATTGCTAACATTGTATAAAAATAAAAAAGTGGCTAAATGAAAAATCTATAGAGTGTGGAAATGTTTTGATCCGATTAAACTGATTACTAAAATAAGAGTTGCTAATGTTTCCTTTCTGCTGCTCGTGTCTTTAATTTAAGGCGAGTTTTCGCTGCGTGAACCGCCAACGTCTGGAGGTAAAACTGAGCCACGCGTCGCTCTCCCAACGCCGCAGCTCAACCTCAGGTTCACCTTAGAACGAATAAACTTCTGGTTTTATTCACAGCATGAATATGAATTAAGTTTTAAATCAAGACGAATGGAATAATCCCAGAGAAAATTTGGTGTTTAGGAGGAGATTTTTTAGTCAATATTAAGCAAATAGCTGCTGAATTAGATTATTGTGTCATTCCACAAAGTGCTGCAGACACACTAATCACTTTTGTGCCCAGTAATCCAGAATAATTTAGGATAAATTAGGTTTGAAGATTGCCCTCTTCCTCTTTCTGGGTGGCGTGGTTATTACACACAGTACCAGTGGTTTGATGGTGCAAACTGTCGGTTTCTGTACTTCGTGATGAAGGGTTCAGGTTTCTTTTCTCTGCTATTGCATTTGGAAAACTTCAATTCCCACATCAACATTTTATTTCTGGATCTCAGATTTCAGGGGGAAATTACAGAGCCTTGTTTTTGTTTATTTTTGGTTTTTTGGAAAAGGAAAACTTTTTCTGTAATTACAAACTGAAATGTATGGAAATGATGAAAATGTTCTACTTTCCCTTTAAGCCCAACTCTGCTTTTTATATTTAAGGTTCGTGTTATTAATTTGACTGAATGGACTTACTAAGTAATTTCACACTCTAAAAATGTCAATAAGTAACCAAAGATTTCCTGAAGGATCATTCTTTGACCCAACATAAATCAGTGTTGTTATTTAAAGACAATATAAAACATATTAAATCTTTGCAATAATCAGACGAGTACTCAAAAACTGCACTCAAGTAAAAGTAGCATAACTTCACCATATTTTTACTCAAGAAAAATAAACAGTAGCCTAAAGAAATTAGAAACAAGAGTAAAAGTATTTGGTAAAACATCTATTAAAGTACTGAGTAACTGATCTAATTATCAATCATTTACTGTTTAAACATGACATCATCAAACAGACCAGAATATGGAGATAAGTGGAAATTTTGGTATTTTAAGAACGAAAATGACAATAAGCTGCGAAAAATAACTAAATCAGACAAAATAAAATGTTTCCAAATCAGTTTCTTTAAAAAATAATTTATGAAACTTCAACAAAAACTGCAGGTGTGTCTCTGTGTCTGGTGAATATTTGATTAAAATATGTTTGTTTTTCATTCAGTGGGTAAAAAATCCAGAATTTTAATCAAGTTTGAGTGGAAATACTTCATAATCAAATTACTCAAGTTAAAGTAAACATGCAGTAAAAATCAGTTTTTCCAAAAAGGTTACTAAAGTAAATGTAATTGAGTAAATGTAGCTAAATACTAACTAACTCTGAATCTTAGCTTCTAGAAACTTCAATTAAAGAAAATAAGAAAACGGGACAGTAACTGTTTCCTTGAATGATAATAAAACACAATAGTGAAATACAATCTTTTTGTAATCTTATGTACAACCATGAACACTTTAAACCTGCAGCTGGAGTTTCACAGAAACATCTGAGGTTTCTCCTTGCAAAGTAACGTTGAGCTAAACCCACCAGCATGTCGTTTAAGCTGTATCTCATTCTCAACATCGGCTCACGCCCACTCCACATAATTATGTTCCTCTGTAATATGAACATCCTCAGCTAACGACCCTCAGAGCGCTCAGCGCATCAGCTTTTTCCGCTCTGTGCTCCCAGCCGGACAAAAACTCCTTCTGTGCAGACTCAGAGGAGAGCAGGAGGCCATTAAACGATCGGGCATGAAGATAGGAGGAGAGCCACTGCTGCACAAACGGATTCAACCTGACGGCTGCACACACCCAGCCAGTCAAGCACAGACCAAGTTAACGCTGCAGGACTTTGTGCCAAGTCATCAATCTGGATGTGTTGGCCAAAAGAAACTCAGGAAAAATTAGGAATAATTAAGAAACAGGAGAAAATCAGCGTAAGCGCTGATTAAAATGCTCCTCATGCTATAAACACATAAAAAGCAGAAGTGCTGAGTCGTGGAAGCCGAAGAGGTTTATCTACAGCGAGGTAAAGGTGGGCCACTCAACACATTAAATATTAATCAGCTGTGAACCTTGAGTCAGATAGGAACAGGAAAACATGCACTCACTGGTAAAAAAAAAAAAATTACACTGCGTTTTACTGAGTGCACTGTTAAAACAAACAGAACTAATCAGTTAAACTGGCGTTAAGCTTACAAACATTTTAGTTTAGTTCGACATAAAATGTAGCAAAAACATTAAAATACATGCATATAAATATTTTCTAACAGGGGGGAATGTAAATACTTACCCTGAAAATTAAAGCTATCATGTGACAGAAATCAAACTTAAGAAGCTACGCTTGCTAACAATTTTCACTTTAGCTTTAGCACCTTTACTAAACTAGTAATAGATGGAAACTGTTTTAAATTCCTTTTTCAAAACAAAAGCTTTAAAAACAACTTTTCTGAACATAAATGGAGCTTATATATTTTAATTTTAAATTATAAAACAAACTAAACCCCTGCTGGGCGTCACAAACAACAGCTAACAGCTGACTTAGCAGCTAACAGTTAAATTCTAATAAAGATGTTAAGATTGCAGGTTTTGCCAAATAGAGTAAATTAATGTTGTTGAACAAAATTATAATTTTACATCTTTTCTTTGTGTTTGAGCTTATTTTGTTTAAAAATATGTTTCAGCAGCAAATAATAACCAATTAAATCTTCCCAGATTTGATCAAAAATCTGTGTTGAATCGCCATTAGTGGTGAGGCCCCAAAAAACCTTGGACCGGCCCTGATGACACACGTAAACACACTGATTTATTATTTTTGCTACTTTTGTAAAGATATTTTTTCAAGATTTTAGTATTTTTTAAAGAATATATCAAATATAAGCTACTAAGCCAAATATTTACTCAACAAAGCAGGTTTTTGTGAATGCAAATAATTTAAAGAGAAGTCTGAAATATTATATTAAAGTTAATATATTTTGCACTAAAGGAAGTAAAAAAATAAATAAAATAAAGGAAAGTCAAGCAAGTTTTGTTTACCTAAATCTCAGTTCGACTTGGGTCTTTAAACTGTAAATGCATATTTACGGCTTCATGTGGGCCCTGAATGATTCATAACCAATGAAATCTAAAATTTCTATATCAGATAATTAATTGACAGTTGATGGTAACAACTAGAAACGTTAAAGCCCTGAACAGGAAAGTCATCAGGAAAGTGTGTCTTCTTTGGTCTTCGAGACGTGAAATTTTTGCAGATGAATCCAGATTTACTGCTTCAAATGGCTGGAAAAACCATAATGAAAGGACTCTAACATTTCAATCGACTGATCGATTGGTCTGTAACGATTAATCCTATTACTGGAAAACTCAGATTTCCCAGTAATAGGAAATCACCCAAGTGTGCTTCTCAGGTCTTCAGGATGTCAAAGTTTTGCAGATAAATCCAGATTTATGACTTCGAATGGGCCCTGAACAATCCATAATCAAAGGTTTCTAACATTTCAATCAACTAATCAATTGGTAAGAAATGACATTGATTGCTAAGTAATGGTATTGATTGGTAAGTAATGGTAATGACTGGAAATGTACAACCCAGAGCAAATGCTGTAAGAAGAGTGTCCTCTCAATCTGTCAAATTTTTACAGATAAATCCAGATTTACGGCTAACATTTTAATCGACTAATCAACTAGTCTGGTAACAACTGGAAAAGTAAAAACTCTGAACATACGATATAAAGGAAGTGTGTCTTCTTGAATCTCTAAACTCTCAACTTTTCACAGATAAATCCAGATTTACGCCTTCAAATGGGTCCTGAATATCCCATAATCAAAAGGAATGTAAAAACGTATATGATCAATCGATTAGTCAGTAAAGATAACCATTGGAAACGGTTAAACGCTGAACACATGCCGTAAGGAAAGTGTTCAGTCCGTGACCTCTGAGGTGAACTACTGTGACTTACTCGAAAACGAAGAAGAGGGAGCAGGTTCCGATGATGAGGAACAGGGTCAGGTAGAAGATCCCCTTCTGCCGGGCCATCATCACCCTCCCGTCGCAGCAGAAGGTGTTCTTCCCGGGGAGCTTCTCCCATTTCCGCACCTTTCGCGTTATCATAACCGCCGACATGCTGGCTGCTTTTCCCAAAATCTTCACTTCTTCAAACTGGGACAAACAGAATCGGGTCAGTGGTGGAGATGTTCGGTCAAAAACAGGCGGGTTGCTCGGATGTTAAAGACTTCCGCTGCATTCTTGTTGTTTTATTTTTTCCTTTTTGGATTGTGGCTGTCACATCGTTGCTGCTTCCTACTCCATCTGACTGCAGCGTGTTTTTATTCCCACGGCGATGCTTCCCTTTCTCCTCAGGCAGGTCTTTAATCCCTCCAGTCCAGATTATTAGAAATCCATCCGAAACGACTGCGACAGATGCTTCCCACTATAAAGAGAGGAAATCCACCCGTGGTTGTGGCAGAGCGGACCTTGACCGCTTGACTTTCATATCATCTCGATAAAAAAAAAAATAATAATAATAATAATAATAACAAAGCGAGCTGCTGCTGCAGAAACAACCCGCTGCAGTCACAGATCCCGGGCTGAGAATAGGATGCAGTCAGCTCAACCAGATCACCGTAAAAAACAGGAATAACCTGTTTTTTGAGCAGAAACGCGTTGCGCTGTGATGAGCTCCAGTTTTTTTCCTGCAGGATGAGCTCTTGGTTTTAGTCAATGGCAGCAGGAAACACGCCTAGATTGAAATGTCTTGTCTTAAAGGGACAGCACAGGTGAAACAGAGGAACAAAGGAACAGATTCAGCTCCTTTTACAAAAGATCGAGAACTGCTTTACTATAATATGTAAAATCAACAACTTAACTTTGTTTAATTCTAATACTGTTCTATTCACATTAATTATTTACTTAAATTAATGGGGGGGAGGAGGGGTGCCGTTTTTAGCCTCATTTTTAACAAATTAATTGTCATAAAAATCCTTTGGAAAATGGTCCAGCTTAATAGATGACACTATATAAAATATATATATTTACAGTTAAAGAGACACGGTTATATTTCTATTTTAGGATGATAAAAATACACCTTTTTCTTGTTTTGTGTATTTATTATGTTTGTCAAAGATATTGTGATATTCATCTTGAAAGGTGCTATGTAGACAATGTCTTCAATCATTTATTTGTTGCTTATTGGGGTAAAGAGACTATAAATATCAACAGATGGGTTTCAAAAAACATTCATATCAACTAATCTGAACATCTGTTTATATCAGTGTTGGGAAACTCTACTTGCTCTGTGTTGAGAGGTTTGACCTCTTTAGCGCAGCAATCAAACTGGAATTCAGAAAAAAATTAAATTTTTGATACAATATACAGACTTTCTCAACCTCAAATCTCATTGCAGTTCTTATTTTTTACTTCCCTCTTGGCAGCAACCTTCTCTGTCTTGTCTGTGCTGATGTGTTTTCCAAACACTCATAAAATGTTCTGATATTTTGTTTACATCCACAAACTTTATATTTTTTTATTGTGATTTGATGTAATAAACCTTTTTATGGCCTCAAGTTTGAGAAAGCTCATAACTGTGCTGTCAAAGGCAAATCATCCGTGATCTTTAAAAATGTTTTACAAATAAAAATATAACCTTTACCTGGATACAAAGCCTAAAGATACAATAGAGTTACAATGGAATGGTTTTGCTCAAACGATGCTAATTTGTTAAAATGGTCCAGTCAAAGTCCAGACCTAACATTCAATCTAGATCCCATGAAAACAGCAATCAAAAATGTGGTTATTTGGAAAAAGTATAAAGTAAATTTTGGTATTTTGGAGACTAAAATTAAAAAATAAAATAACACAAATAAATAATTTAAAAGGAAAAATATCAGGCATAAGAAAGACTTTTCCAAATCAGTATTTTTGCTATATAGAACTTATGAAAATAATATTTACAATAGGTAATATTAAATGTTATATATGACAGACTTAAATACTTGCAGGAACAATACATAGAGTTTAATGTATCTTCTTGATCTTAAAAAGGTTTAGCAGATAGAAAATATCATTAAAACAATAAAGCTTGTGTACAAAGAGGAAGTCTGACTTGAACATAATTGTTGTCTCACTGGTCAAGAATATGTAATCTTTACCAGGTTCTGAGATTATTTAAATATATCCGCGATCTGTGCTTTTACTTCAGTAAATTAAAGTAGTACTCCTCTTACTTGTGTAGATTTTTTCGGTATTCTACCACTTACTTGAGTAACTTTTTTGGGGAGAAAAACTTCCTGTTAAGTAAAATGTCTAGATAGTTTTGAGTAGGTTTTATGTCATGAACCAGATCATATCACACTTTGGATTTAAAACAACACTTTGTCGCCATCTACCGACATTAACGAGAAATTGTCTATTTTTAATTACTTCTTGCTGTTTCAACTTCATGTAATTCATTCTCAGTTTTGTTTTCTGTCCCAAAAGTAGACAAATAAAGCTTCAATTGATAAAATATAACATTTTATATTTTGCAAAGCAGCAAAACATGGGACCAGCTAATAGCAAATAACAAGCGGTTTGTCCGTCCTTCACAACAATCCGACTGGAAACAAAAGCTTGATCAATGGCAGGTACCCCATTGGCTGCATATAGCGTTTTACTAACTAATGAGACATTTAAAGTAAATCCAAAGTATTTATTTAGTTGCTCATAAATGGATGGTGTACCTTGTCTCCGTGTGTCTTGTTGTCAGGCACAGCAGTTCAGGTAAGGATCTGTTTACGGCGAAAGCCGTTAGCTTAGTAAGCTAGCAGGCAGCAGAAAGAAACTGGTAGAGCGTCAGAAGTTTATTGTGTTTTTAAATAACGTTTCTTTTTTATTATGCAGGATGTATCTCCAGTCCAGGGGGATGTTCGACCGGAGTTTTAGCTTGGTTAAACAACCAGACGGGACAGTCCTCCTTCCTATTTCACCATCCTGCCTCTCACAGCTGGATCTGCAGTCTCTCAGAAACACTTTGACTCCAGATGTTTGTGACTTCACCTGGAGTCAGGTAGCTACCGCCAACTTCAATCCCTCATTTAAATGTTAGGATTTCTGTTGTGTTTAGTATCAATGGCGATCAGATGGAATGCAGTTAACTGCAAAGTTTTAAAAACTTAAAATTAATATTTGCACACCTGCTACAAACTATTTCACTGATCATGTGGCTGCAAGCATAAAGCCTAACATAAAGCATTTATTAATTAGTTATTTTGATTTTTAAAAAAGTGCTAGTTTCACTGACAGATTATTTCACTTGTAACATGAAGAAAATGTCTGATTAGTGAAATAATCTGCTAGTAGAACTAATACTTTTAATAAATATTAAGCAAATATTGACCTTAAAAAAAGCTTGCATTTTTTGCTGAAAGGTTAATTTTCAGAAACAAACAAATTACCATTACAGGAAAAGCATTTATTCAACGTCATCGGTGGCTATCCTAACTAACCTAGCGTTTACAACAGGCTATGCTTCTATAGCATAGCAAACAGGAAGAGGGAGGGGATGAGCAGCGCCACACGGAGGATGATTGACAGCTCTAAGCCCTGCCTACTGACTCTGATTAGTTGTTTCTAGTTAGCACTAGAAACACTAGGAGAAGGCAGAGGAGCTCTACTTTTTCACAGATTCCGTCTCATAAAACTGTCATGACATGGTGACAGTTTCAACAAAAATATAAAAACATATTTTTGTTTTATAAAAGTTACATCCTGGAGCTTTAAGGTGTTTAGAATCTCTCTTTTTCTCTCTCTAGTCTCCACAGTCAAAAAAGGAGAAGGGAAGGAAAGCTGGAAGTAAACTGGAGAGAACCATCCAGGAGTTGTTGGAGTCTCAGGGTGAAAGATGGATGGAGGAGATGAGGAGCGATCTTCCTCGGAGCTTCCAGAGGCATGGAGACCTCGTCCTGCTGGGCGACAGCTGCTTTACTCTGCCGATATGGAATAAAATAGGTACCACCTCATTCACTTTAGTACAAACTGTAGAAAATTTGTTCATTTCGAATGTCCATCTCCGGGTGACTCTGAACCCATCCAATCACTGAACGGACGCCTAGAACAGGTAAATGTGCCAAAACTTTCTCCAACTTAGCAGAAACAAAACTAAGTTATCTTTCTAGAGTCAACACACAGCTTCAGTTATTACAATTAGAAACTACTAATAAGGCCTGAAACCGGGGAGTAGTGATGAACTCTGGCCTGAAACTTCAGATCCACATAAAGACAGTCAGCCTTCTATCATCTGAAGAACATCTCCAGGATTAAAAGACGATCAGCGCGATCTAGAAAGCATTCAGCTTCTATGCCCCACAATTCTGGAACAAACTTCCAGAAAACTGCAACACAGCTGAAACACTGAGTTCCTTTAAATCCAGACTAAAACCCAGCTGTTTAGAGTTGCTTTTGATTATAATCAATGAAACATTAATCAAAATTTTGATGTGTAACGATGACAAAATATGTTTGTCCAATTCTTTTCTTCTATTCTTTTGAACTCCCTTGCTGCTGAAATGTGTTACACAAATAAACGTTATTGATTGATTGGTTTCTCTAGGCGATCAGTTATGGAGTGCAGTGACCAAAGAGCTGAGGGCGAAGCGGCTTGCAAAGATGAGTCGAATATCCAGGGATGGGTTCAGGTCTCCTGTGGTGACGATGCTGCTGGGCGACAACAGCTGGGTCAAGCATGTGGACAATGGCATCAGGTGCATATATATATATATATATATATATAGACATGCTCTTAATGAATAATGTGTTTTTGTTTCAGTTATGAGTTTGATGTTACCAGATGCATGTTCTCAGCCGGGAACATCACAGAGAAGCTCCGTGTGGCCGGATTTGACTGCAGAGGAGAGACTGTGGTCGACTTATATGCAGGTAATAAAAGATCAATGTGTTGGTCAGGGCTGGGAGATTAATCAATTTTATCAATCAGTCAAAGTTTTGGTTCTTTAAGATTAAGCCTGTTGCAATAAACAATAAATCAATTAATCGCATGATAAATTAGAACAAGTTCAATAATTTGCATTTACATCATTTATTGTTTTTCTCTTTTCTCTCTTTCTACAGAAAAGTGGATGATAAAAGTCTTCAACTAGCGCTTTATTTGAAGGACAATGTAGTTTACAGAAACTTCATAATTAATTTTGTTTTGTTCCAGTTCCAGTGTTAAATGTTCATTAAAATTCAACGTTATTACTTGAAAATGGTCTCAAAACAATATTTTTATTTATTGCAGTAACTTCTGGGACATTATATCGTCCAGCAAAACTTGACATGCTTATTGAAGATTTAATTTTTGGAAAATTAGGATTTTTTTTCTCCTTTGGTTTCTATAGTTCAGAGTGATGTCAACATTAAGAATAAATGTAATTATTCTGGCATTCTGTTGTGTAATCGTCCCATTTTTGCCTCCTGTCAGGTATTGGCTACTTCACTCTGCCATATTTGGTTCATGCGAGGGCCAGCCATGTTCATGCCTGTGAGTGGAACCCTGACGCCGTCGCTGCTTTACAGAAAAACCTGGAAGTAAACGGGGTGCCAGAGCGCTGCACCATCCACCCAGGAGACAACCGTCAAGTAAAGACTCTTCATTTGGCTGGTCTTATTTTTAAAAATGTGTCCAACATAGCTGAATCAAATGACCGAATTTCCTCATCAGCCATTCATTTGCTTCAGCTGAGTTGGAGAAAAAGAAGCATGTAAAGGACGGGCAACCGCTACAGCTCAGCTCAGTACCACCCCCTAGTGGTACTACTGGGAAACACAATGTGACTGAGTCGGAACAATTAACTTTTTTTAAACATTGATATATAATCTAACATAATATAATGATTAATATATATTTATGTTTTTTTTCCCCATTTAGATAATTTTCAAATTATATATTTTTTTAATTACAGAGTCAAGACTTAATAAAATGTATTTATTCATTCATTTATTGGTATGATTTTTAAAATATTTTTTATTTGTAGAATTATTTTAAATTTAAGTAGTTGTTTGGCATCCCATATACAAAGTATCAGTGGGTGTTTATTGCATCGTATATAATTTATAATGAAAAATTTATTTTAATAAGAATTTTGATTTATTGTCGTCTCAATAAAAAATAATAAATGATAGTATTATCAGAAATATTATTTTTTCAACAGGATGTAGGGGCTTGTTTTAAGTTAATAACTCTGAAAAAATACCAGTTCATTTATAACATGGGAAAAATGTCTTATTATAATCAGTGTAACTAGCACTTTTCCATCAATATTAAGGAATTATTATTATTATTATTACTTAAAACAAACTGCCATTTCTTGTTAAAATGTTACTTGTAAGTTAGTTTTGTCTTATTTCAAGTGTACTAAAATATTTGCCCTGGAAAATACAAAAATACTGAGTAAGATTTTATGTTTTTACCTTTGTTTTCTTTTCTTCCCAGGTTCAGCTGTGTAATATCGCCGACCGGGTGAACCTGGGTCTCATCCCGACCTCTGAGGACGGCTGGCCCGTAGCGTGTCGGCTGCTGAAGAAGACGACCGGCGGCGTTTTGCACATTCATCAGAACGTCACCTCTCCTTTACTGAACGCTGCTGCTGGCGACGCCGCTCCTCAAAATCTTTCTGCAAAGAACGCTGACAGAGAGGTGTGGCGGGCCTGGGCCAGTGACACCGCAGACCGAATAACTTCTCTGTTCAAGGACCTCAGTGGTGCATCATGGGTAATAAATATCCAGCACATAGAACATGTGAAGTCTTATGCGCCTCATGTGCACCATGTTGTGCTGGACTTGGACTGCAGACCGAACTGAATTAACACTGAAACAATATTCCTGCTGCTTTTATTCCCAGGAATAAATAAAAGAAGGCTGCAGGGTCGAAAACACTTTTATTTAACCCCATCAGGCCTGGTTTATGTTTTTCTGGTGAGCTAAAAACATTTTACCCACCTGGGTTTTACTCATGTTACACTGCAAAAACACAAAATCTTACCAAGTAATTTTGGTCTAGTTTCCAGGTCAAATATCTTACATCACTTGAAATTAAATTATTTACTTTGAAAGAGTAAAATATCGAAGAAAAAATGTTTTATTGTTAAGAAAACAAAAGAAAATACATAATAATCAAACTTGAAACTTGTTGTTTTTGAAGTGTACTAAGATATTTGCACTAGAAAAGTTCTTGGTAAGATTTTTTTTAGACCTGTCATGACACCAATTATTGTTGAACGAGAAATTGTCCCAGACTTTATTGTAATAAACGATAATATTGTTGTTTTGAGACCATTTTCAAGTAAAAATGCAATAACACACTATCAAAGATCAATAAACTTTAAATCAAAATGAATATTTAACACTGGAATTGGAAGATATTTTAAATTTCCAAAATAAACAAACAACAGAAACAACAAATTCAATTAATTATGAAGTTTCTGTAAACAAAATTGTCCTTTAAAAAAGAGGCCAGTTGAGACAAAAACACGAGACTGAAGATTTTAACATCCAGTTTTTGGTAGAAAGAAAAGAGAAAAACAATAAATTATGAAAATGTAAATAATTGACATTGCTTTAATTTATCATCTGATTAATTGATTAATTGCTCATTGCAATAGGCCTGTGTTTTTGAAGTGTAAGCACAGAAACAAAAGGAACAAAACACAAAACAGCCAAGACCAGACATCTCTACATTTTATAGCAATTAAAGCAAGTATGAGTTTATGAAAAAATATATTATAAAATAATTTTGAAATCACAAATTGGCCATAAAATACTTAGAAACTTTTTTCTCTGCAGGGTTATTCTAAACAATTAAGCGTTTGATCATATAGTCAAAATAACTTAAAATCCTATCACTTGAAATAGTTTTCTAGCCTACCGTGAAAATAAATGTATATATTTGATGGAAAACAGACACTTTTCCCCTTCATACATGCTTGTCTTTTCTGATGTTATTGATTAATAAGAAACTAACCAGTAACAAACATCATACAAATGATAAATTCAGTGATTCAGCACAAAGTCTGCATCAGATTTTCTGAAAAGAGCTCTCCTCAAAAAGCATCAAACTTTAATCAGAACTAGAAGTGAATCTGCTAAAAAAAAACATTGAATTATTTGACAAATTTCTCATTCATGAATATTTAAATTAGTTTAAGGTATCACTGTGAACTAAAGGAAGTGAAAGGAGAATCAGTCCTCCATATAGACAATTCCCTGCATGTTTTTATTAGTGTGGATGTAATGTGAATCACATGCTGAGACCCTCACAATAATCCTATCTGAGCTCGGTTGGGTAGATGAGGGAAGATTTGCTCCCAAAAAAGGGATTTTTCTTCTCGATAATCTGCAAAAGCAAAAAGTCAAAGTTGTTTTAAAGAAAAAAATGAAGCTTTGTTGGTAGCAACATTCTGAACATATCAATATTGATTATTTCTGGTTACAAAATAGTTTATACTGATCAATATTGCTGCTAAACTGTGACTCCTTTCCTCTCTTTACTTCAAATTGGGACTGACTTTCCTGAAATGCTTATTTTATTTTTAACATTTTTATTTTAAATGTAATGTATAACTCATTTTTAAAAAATGTGCCAACAGACACTGGTTAGATTTGAAAATTTTACAGATTTCTTGAAATTGAGCTGTTGTCTTACAGCAACAGTCTTCAGTCAGAGGCCTCTTCAGGGTCACTGCAAGACTGACTGCTACTGAAAGCTCTTCCTGCACACAGCAAAGACTCTCTGAAGACACTTGGATACAAATTTGGGGGAAAATAAAGTATCTTTGAATTACTTTATCTTTATTGAAATTATTTTGATTACATAAAACTTTAACGAAAAGATGAAAATCAAAAGAAAAAGGGAAAAATGTTAAATGAACATTAAATTATTTCCATTCTTTCAGGAGCTTTAAACGTTTTGTGGGAACTAAGGGAAAATTGAGCTCTTCCCGTTCCAACTTATTAGCCAAAAGGAAGAAAAAGAGCTGGGATATGAGGAAAAAACGGTTAATGAGCCGATTTTTCCACATTCAGCGTTTCATTCTGTGGTAAACGGAGCAAAAGAAACGCACCTGTCATGGAAAGGCTCCCCGACCCGAGTGCTGCAAACTTTCCTTTATCTTCCGGGCAATGGTTCGGATCCCGCAGGGCAGGAAGAAGACGAAAACAACACCAGGCATTGGAGCAGGGAGGAATATTAATCAGTCTAGAGGTGCGGTTTGGACCGTGGCGGTGAAACAGGCTGAGTGAAGCCTGCCGGATCGTCTCATGGTTTCTGTATTTTTACAGCTCTTCATCGTTTTTTCTATTATTTCCTGTCTCTGTCTCTCACAGTAACCCGAGTCAACGCCGACAGCGGACTGGTGTCGACTTTTACCAACAGGTGTGTGTAATTCTCACTAACTAGATACTTTTAGACACTTTCGTGTAACTGTGTTTCTATGCGACTCAGACCAGTCTGTAGTCGTCGTTAATGTGGGTAGTTGGTGTAACTTGCGCTGCAGTTTGAGGCTCTTAACGTAACTTACGTCAACGTCCGACCGTTGGTTCGGTTAACGGCTAACGGTGGGCTTCATTAAACGGGCTTTAATCGCCAGATTTCATACATGTTTAACCTAAACTGGCCGAGTTTTAAAGACCGTCTGAGCGTTGTAGTCACTTGCGAGTTTAAATCTGTTCTTATTTGCATTATCTACTTGCCAATAGTTTTATTAGACTTGCATATACATCGTGGTGAACCTTGATAAACTTTATTAGCAGCAGTTCTCCTTGTCTTTTGTTACAATCACCAGTTCCTGGTAGAGTTTTTGTCACACAGAAGTTGCCCTACAGGTGCTGTTTAACTGTTGGCATTCAAACTATGAGGAAAAAGTTGCCTGGGTTATTCCAGCAATGTTTCATTTTGCTTTAAGGTAACCTAGAATTTAAATGAAGCTCTTATTTGAGATGGGAATGTGGCATACTATAAAACTGGTGTTGAGTTTGAACAAATGATCCGCCCTGCTCTCTGAGTCTTTTTACAGGGTGGGAACCCTCCATGATGGCCAAGTTCATGTTGTTTCAGCCTTCATTAATCAAAACATTTAACCCCAGCAGAGGATGTCTGTGGGATATTTAAATCCTCCTGCTTCTTTTTAAGCATTTGTTTTGTTTTTTTTAGGTGGGGAACTGCATGTCGTTATCCTTTTTCAGAATTTCTGACTGAATTGCTGTGGGAAAATATGTCTACATCAAGATTTACTCAAATACCTTTTTTTATTATTTGAAATGCAGTTTTAATCTTCATGGCATGGCATGAAGCATTCGGTCCATTTGGTTTTTCTGAGTTTTACAAATGAGCCACATCCTGCTGAGTTGAGCTGTCGAGCACTGCAGAAACTTTCTACTGGTATCTTGAATGCAGGCTCCTTGTGTCGATGTGCCATCCATTAAGTCGACCCAGTTCTTCTGAGCTGACCGATCTTAAAGACATGATGCCAGAGGCTCCTGATTTGATCAACCTGGGCTTCCTGTCCGATTCGGAACAGGAGCTTATCCTGGAAGTGCTGCGTCGGGATGAGGAGCTGAGGACGGTGGAAGACAAACGAGTACGGTGAGAAGAGACCAGAGAGTACCAAAACATGCTATGTTTTAATGGCCAGGAGATTTAAACGTTGGGGTTCCCTTAATTTTATGCTCCTCTTATGACACAGTAAGTTATGTTTTAAAGATTGCCATGAAAATATTTTACATCAGTGTATTTGCAAGCACTATGACTAACTTCTGTCTTTAGCTGGGTTAGCTTACCGTTTTCAAAGCCGTAAATAGTAGTTTTAGCTTTTAAAAGTCCGAAAAAAGATGGAAATGTTTATCTTTTTACATCCCGTCTATGCAAAGTAGGTTGTGTTGCAATATGTATGCAAATTGGTAGGGTTTCAAAAATACTTTGACTAGGGAGGAAACGATAACATTAAATTCTGACAGGATTTTAACGCCAGAAAGTTGAAACATTTTAAGAAACTAAATTAAGTGCAATTGTCTTATTTGACACATTTTGTGAAAGGAAAATTATTCCTTCCCTTCCACTCTTCTCATTATTTTTCCATCCATTTTGCAATCATCTTTTTATTTCTCCATTCATTTTTCCATCCGTCTATCTATTATTTCACCAATTTTAATCACTTAATGGCTACATTTTGGTTGTCTTTATTCAGTAATAACATTCACACTGAAGAGTGCCGGCTTCATTGCAGACTGGTAGCATTTAGGATGGTGCTTAATGCTACATGAGCCTTTAGGTAGCAAAAGAAGATCCATCAAATTTGTGTGCTCTCTTTTGCTGGTGCATCTTTTCCTTCCACTCAACTTTCTTTCAATATTCCTGGATACATAACTCTGTGAGCAACAGGCTTCTTTAGCAGTGACTGTTTACTGCTGCGTCTTCTGGAGCATTAATGATGCAATGTCTGGTCAGTAGTTTTTACCTGTGAAGACAGTGTCTAAGCTTTACAGGTGTTTTTATTTACCGTATTTCATGGTTCATGTCCATTGGTATGAATTAACATTTAACACGTCAGTGAAAACATGAGTCATAAAGAGGAAAAAGCATGGACCATAAGAACCAGAACCAGCCAAACTATGAAAAAAAGTGCTATTTATATTCTGGAAAATATGGAAACTATTGGTGTGAAACTGAGTTTTCTCTATTTAACTTTAAATTTAGACACAGAATTTTGGATTTTTATTATGTGTAAACCACAATGACCACATTAAAAGGCTTGGAATATTTTAGTGTATAATGAGCTTTGCTTTCTGATGTTGACCAGAAATATTAAACTTTTTCATGCACAACATTCACATTTTTTCAGATGCACTTGTATTCTTTGTATTGTTTTGTTTTTTATTCTTAACTTTTCCAGTTGCAT